ATTTTTTTCTCCAAGTGAGTCAACTTTAATTTTTTTTATCATAGAAAATATATGAAAGAGCCCAAATTTTCTCATTATTTGTATTATTCTCCCAGACTTGTCAAAATGGAAGTTTGGGGGATACCCTCGGGATATTTGGCAACAGTTGTAAATTTATTTTGTTGTTGTTGCAAATCTTAAGAACATGAAAAGGACGGAGTGAATTGAACAGGACTCATTATGGTCACCCATAGACAACTTTACAGGGTAAATCCAGAGGATTTTACAAAGGTTCAACTTTGCACAGAATCACAGACCACGTTATTATTATTATTTTTTGTCGCTGGAAACTTCTTTTATCTCAAAAATTAGCATGATAATTCCCGTTTTCACGTCTAATGAGCGTCTGGCTATTGAACCCCTCGAGCACATTGCCACACCTTCTGAAGTCGAGGCTGTGGCGCATGCGTGCATCCGAATCCAAAATGGCGTCCAAAGGAAAGGGTGTATGGATATGGTCGCCTACATGACATTCCATCTCAAGAAATGTCCCGTCTTGCAGATTATTTTGTCGTTTGTGGAATAGACAGGGACTCAAAGAATGGTAAGAAGTCTTTTGATCGGCCTTAACTGCCCGTCTTACTGAGAACACTGTTGTGCAAACATCGCACGCCTCTGGAAATTTCGGAGTTTCTTATGAAACCTGCTTTTCGTTGTTGAATTTTAGAAGAAGTTAAAGGGAAGGTGATACAACGGTTTCCAAGTAAAGACCGCAAAGATGCAACGTTTCCAGAAGGACTCGAACTGGTAAGTGCTATGAATTTTCGTTGAAAGCCGGTTGGTGTAATGTCTACGAGCGAGTGTTGTCCTTGCCCATGCAACATTGTAACACCGCTTCGCGAATTTTCCGTTGGGAACCCTTGCAGTTTTTGTAACACTCAAACACCACTTCAAGGCTGTCGTGTGATACCTCTGAAACAAGGACGTTGGTAATAAATAAGGGCAGCAAGAGAGGCTTTTGTTGAAAGACAACAATAAAACTGGTGCTTTTCAGGTCTTTAGTCACTGATCGCATGATGTTTAGACAAAGTTTGACTATGCATGGGTGGAATCTTCAGCAGGTATTCGTTCAGCAGACTGTTCAAGATTGAAATTTTTTTTTCTTCCATCACGTTACCGGAGAAGGCTTTTACTTTAATTTTGTAGTAACTATGAAGAGGATCATTTTATTGTACCGGTGAAGCTCAATATTGTTTGAACTAGCGCTAGACGCTCCGCTAAAGATCGATCGAATATTATTAAGCTCATTTCAACTTGTTTGCTGAACAATGTTGACGTTCTTACAACTCGTACTCAATTTGTTGTTAGCGGCTGAATTTGGTTTATCGTCTAAGAATATAATTCCCTTTCTTACAGTCTCACAATTGTTTGTTGAATTCAATGTTTTACGTTGAATTATCCTGATGTTCTACCTCAAGCCTTACTAATTCTTCCTTCCCCGCTGTGTACGTATTTAAACGGACATTTTTATCCAGCGTTTAGCGTCCAGGCACAATATTTACTCGATTTGTTTGCAGTTAATTAATCCTTCGTGAGCTCCTCTTGTTATGTTGAGCACGCTTTAAACTCTCGTCTCAACGGATCAAAAAGAATCGGTGCATTCCTGAAATTTCAGCTGATTGATTAAAACATGTTTGTTTATTTCTGTGCTGATTTGCAACGAACATGTATCGGTGAATGTCTGAAGCTGTCAGATTTGGCAGTTCAATTTCTATGCATATGCCAAGAGCTATGCTTCATCTCAAGGAGGTTTGGTAATGAAAGTGTTTTTGTTTTATTTTTGTTTTTTTCTTGGGTGATTTTTGTTTTTGCTTGCTCAGTGAGTGCTTGAGGAAGGAGTACTTCCAGAGGTGACTTTTAACCTCTTTCACATTAGAATTTCAGTCTGCACTTCCTAGTTGGCAAGGGGTCATGAAACCCAAACTTGGAATTTTGTCACAAATTTGTACTTTTTTTTCCCATAAAACTCACATTCCGCTAATCATTACGCTCTGCGGGATGTTTATACCACAAACTAAAGTGGCAGAAATAGTTATTGAATAATGTTGCAGAGATCTCTCATATTATGTTCAGGTAAATTATTTGTTTCACCCTTTGTTTCTTTTGGCCCTGAAAAGCCCCAGTGGGGAATTGGTCAATTAAGGTTATTTAATTAAATTTTTATTTTCTCTCTTTTACCGAAAGACAAAACTATTAAAATGGGAAAACTGTAATAGTTTGTCATTTGTTACGTTAAGTAAATGTTTCAATCCAAGAGTAGCTTGGATTTTGTTTCAAATGAAAGCTACTTAATAAAAAACTCAAAATATGGGCTCAGAGAGATGTATATGACTTCAGTGAAAACAGCTGCCAAGTGTTCAGCAGCTTATAATAACTTTTGTAAGTTAGCTGTGTGTCTGTCAGTCTGTGTTAAGTGGTTATGTTATTCATGTCAAATTTATGTCCACAAGGTTTCACAGAATTACATTTTATTCTTGAATGAATCGCCATAAGGTTTGTATGTCGTGTGATGTTTGCTGCCAGGTAATAATGATGTTGTCATGGACATTGTTCACATGTTCACATTTGTGACACCTGAAGACAAAAATCTAGACTCCAAGTAATTATTGTTTCTTGTACTATCAATTACCCTGATTGAAATTAGGAAATTATTCCATTTGATTTTCAGACAGCATGAGAGTAGCAAAGAACTGAGCTTAACAACTGCTAGATAAGTGCAACTGCGACATTGTACCAGTCCCTTGCGTTATTGTGATGCTGTGAGCTCAGCATGCTTTAAGCATGTTTTCTGAAAATCTTTGGAAATCAATGGAGTCTGTTATGAATTCATGATGCACTAAAATTAGGGATTAATCAGTAAGGTGACTTGATGTTTTCTTTAGTTTTGCCAACCTGGAGGATGGAATTATTCCTACTACTACAAACCACCGACATTCTTTGTTGCTGTTCTCACCGACATGGAAGGAGAACACCGATACTGTGCTTGCTTCACATTCTATGAAAAATGCATTCCAACTAAGTCCAAATCTAGAGCAGTAAAGTCAACAAGCCGGGAGGGATTTAAAGATGGCAGCCAGTCAGACTCGTCACTTTCAGACAAAAGATTTTCTGACGACATTCCTGGAATCTCTGTGAATTCTGAAGAGTTATCAGTGGACATGTTTGCCCCAAAATGCTTGTGTCTTGTATCAAGAGCAAGTTATTTTGACATCTTAAAGGTATAGTTAACATTTAGAAATAAGGAATATTTTTCATATTTTGTTGGCATCACATGTATAGAAACATTCAGTGGAAGTCTGGGAGAAGGACATATTGTTGTGGGAAAGTGAACTATGGATTTTTTTCCACAGCTTTTTCAAGTTCTTCCATACTGTTGCACATTTCTGTAACTCAGTTTAGATAGGAATCCATCCATGTCACAAAAGTACATTTAATCACACCAATTATTCTTGCTGCAGTAAAAATGACAACATGGTCTGATAAACTAGTGCCAGTCTCATATCAGGAGAATCATATCCAGTGTCCAGTCCTTTATTTTGTAGTATTCTGCTCTACATTTGATATAAACAGAGAGAAATTGTTTTCAGTATCTTTCCATAAATACTGCATATTGGAAAAAAGAAATTACTTGTCTTGACTGACTAAATAGTAATAATCAAAATGTAAATTCTCTAAATGCATACACCATTCATGTGTCAATGGCTTATGGTAGAAACATAGGTTTATGCCTGCATTTTCTTGCAGGGTTTTTCTAGACACATTATTAACTTTCCCTTTGCTATCACAGCAATGGGTGAATGTGTCTTTTTAGGTAATGGACAGACTGATTGTGGTGTATAACGTAATTAAACACTGGCTATCATGAGCTGAATTACCGTAGGTGCCTATTATATTATTTTTATTTATTTCAGAGCTGCCTGACAACCATCTATTGGTCATTCCTGTCTGGAAACAGCAAATCCTTGGAAGGACTGGTCGGCTGTGTCTTGGGCTTTGTTCAGGTGCCACCGCCTGGTGGACCAAGGATGACATTTTCCATGGGTGCAGGCGATCGTCAGACTCTCTCGCCTCCTGCTTCTGAGACTCTTCCAGTGACTGGGAAATCAGTTTCCATCTTGTTTAACCAGTTGGGTGAGTTCTACATGTAATTTGTTCCTTTTGAGGGTCCAAGAGGGAGCAATTATTACAGCCAATTATATTTAAAATGTTAGAAAAATAGTACAAGTGAGTAGAGCCCCTGCTATAATGTAAATGTACTAAATATGCTTGTTTTCTTACCTCCTAACAGGAATCCACAACATGTTGTCTCTGTTTAGTGCTGCGCTGACAGAAAACAAAATCCTGTTTTACTCAAGCAGCTACTCTCAGTTAACCCATGCCACACAGTCCATGTTAGCATTGATGTATCCTCTGAAGTTCAGGTAAGTCATAATAGTGTTTGAAGGGATATTTGCATGCAGAATGTAAACTTTCAATGGCCGACAGCAGAACTCGTGTAGACTTGGATACAGTGAAAAAATCAGGAAGGCACATACTCAAGCAACAAAGACGCTTACTTCAAATCTTCGTGACTACCATGAATTGTACTGTCTAGTAATGTGCATTATCTTGTTGATTGCATAATACATGTATTTATGATGAGCAAGAAAGCTTTGATTTCTTTTTCATGATAAACAAAGGTTAGGTTACCCATTCAAATAACTGAAAAACTCTGGCAATAGTATCCATTTACAGTGTATGGAATCCCTTTTCTAAAATGTCTTTTTGCATTTTGCCAGTTATGTGTTCATCCCGATACTACCATCAGCATTACTTGAATTCTTAAGTGCACCTACACCATACATCATGGGGGTGCATGAAAGCTACAAAGATACCTTGGCACCTGATTTGGTGAGTGATACTACATACAATTCATGTTTTACACCTTTTAAGACATCAGTAGATATTTGCTCAAAAAATGTGTAATTAAAGTGGCCAGGAAATGAAAATGAGTCCTTCACTCGTAAACAAAAAGCTTGATGAACTTGAGCAAAGCTTTAATAGTAGTTTCTTTAAAATATCTCCATTTTGTGATGTGGATTTTTGCAAATAATTTTTGTCAAAGAGATCAGAGCCAATTATGAAAACACAAAAGTTGAATTTTTTCTATCCTAACTATCATTACATGTACAGGTAGTTGTGCATACTAGTGGACTTCTGCTATTTTGTTGAGCACTTTTAATGACAGTAACCTTTATGTTGATGTCACCATTCTGTTGGTGTATAGGTGTGATCTGGCTTACATTATACGAAAAGTAGACTTCTTTGTGTGTACATTACAGGCTGATGTAATCCTTGTGGATATTGATGGAGGACATCTTTCTATTCCTGACTCCATAAACCTTCCCTATTTGCCTGAACCCTTCCTGAGTAGAGCAAGGCATGAACTAACCTTGGTGAGTCTTGAAACACATTTCAGTTTATGACTTCAGCATTGACTAAGATGTTATTAGTGCTCATCATGCTGTTCTGTATTGGGGATTGAACACAAGTTACCTGTCTGAGTCGGACAGACAATGTTGACCTACACCCATATAATGTGTGTTGTAGTGTGCCAAGACATGGGTACTGATTATCATCATCTTTACATTGTCTGCTCCTCTGATTGTGTATTTCTAGGTGTTACATCCTCAACTCGTGACAGCTGATCATGCCTTCCAGTCGCCAACGTCACCATCTCTCCCAGTCCTTCAGGTTAGTAGCAACAAAATACAAGTAGTTAATAACCTTCACTCTGAAGACGACTTCTGTTCAGGTTTTTGAAACATCACTTGCTAACTGCAGTTCTTTTTAGAACTGGGCAATAACACCATGCAAACTATTTAATAGATTCTCCTATGTTGAAACCATTTACTGGGCAGTTCATCTGTCATTCCCAAGTTCTTATTGCTCTCATACATTTCTAGATAAGTGTTTTGGTGGTAACTCTGAGAGTTGTAGGCATCCTTCAGCATGTTTAAAAACTCACTGACATTGTTTTATTTTGTAGGACAAGGAACTTCGTGCAGTGTTTATCAGGTTGCTTGCCCAGTTGTTATCTGGTTATCGATCATGTCTAAGATTGATTAGAATTCATCCCAAACCAGTCATAACATTTAACAAGGTCAGTGTTATAAAATAAACCAGGAATGTTAAGTAAGTAGCCTTAGTGTAAATGGTGACAGTGATTGTCAGTTACTGTGCATGTACCTGGTGCCCTTGGACAGTCTAGTGTACACCACATTGCTATCTTGTCTTGGCATCCATTATTATCTTTAAACCTGAGTGAGCAAGCATGATTCAGGGGCTTCAAAAGGTTTTCAGCTGTACTAAACTTCTTTATAAGAAAACCTTTCCTCTAAATGCTCAAACCAAGGAGGCAAAATCATCCTCACAGCCGGTCACTTTGTCCAGTGCCCAGCCCTTAATGAAACCCCTGTTCAGATTGATGTTTCAATTTAGAATTTTTCATAGGTGGAGGTACATACAGACAGTACATATTATTCTACTTACTGAAATGGAAATTAAATTTTCTTGCAGGTTTCTTTCCTGGAGTTCAGGGGTATGGTTGGAGATGCATTCCTCTCTAAGGTAATTTTTCAGAGTTGTAAGACTGTGTTATTAATTGTAAATTCATGTGCATTTTTTTCTGCGAAAGCAGTCTTCGTTCCCCTTGCCCTGTGACCAAGGAAAAAACGACCCTGGAATGTTCTGTTTGGAAGTCCGAAAATATCAGACTTCCAGTTGAATCGGCCATGCTTAGCTGACAAACACTTGGCTGAATCGAGTTGCTACTGTTTCACTTCCACTCAGTTCCTTTAGTCAAGTAAAACCAATCAAAATAGAGCCTGGAATAGAACTCGCAAGAGTTACTTGTTTTGTTAAGCTTGCACAGTAAGGAATGAAGACACAAGGAATGGATTATTGTTGTAAAAGTTGAGTCCCCCTCCTTTCAAAGGCATTCTTGCAGTCATAGTGGCAAGTGTGTAATATCTGGAGGAACAATAATTGAGTGCAGAGAATCCAGCAGCCCAACTCTTTCTTATGGAATGCCTACTGTGTGCTCAAATATTCTTTACACATTTCCAAACAAACATTAAAACAAACACTCTTAGAACTCTTTAAAGTGTCTCCTTGGTTGGGGTACCTGGCTGCAGGACAGTCAAGGCTCTGCTAATGAATACTGGATATCCCAGAGGCAGACATCTGTTCCAAGCAGACACACAGTCATGGTCCCAGCCATGCACATCTTGAACCCTTGCATAAGCAGTCGTCTGTAACTAGGAATGACTACTTACACTTAGGAAATTTTTTTCCTTAAAGCTATGAAGATTTTACATGGTATCTGGGGTCAGTATAGAGACACAAAATAATTGTAAAACTGTGTGTTTTTCAGGTCTTGGAGAGCATTTCATTTCTGTCATTTGTGGCTAATAGAGGTCCTCCATACAGAACTTGTGACCTCTTTGACCAGGTAATTGAATAAATTTATTAATTAATAGTTAAATATAAGTATCCTGAACACTGCTTTTTAGACTGTTGTTTTTAAATCATATTATTTTGCTTTGCTTGAACTTTTTGAAGAGCAAATGCTGTAAGTGTTGGTTGTTTCTTTTTTTTCTAGCTGTGTGTTGAGATTGACAGCATTCTGATCAATGAAGGAGGCAATGATGCTGAAGTACAAGCCAACATTCAACAACTTGCACAAAAGCTGTATGATAATGTAAGTTGAATCTGGCTCATTATGAAAAGCAGTATCTTTAGTGGAATTATGTGATGGTTGTGTATAGTTTTATAATTCCTCATGCACAATTTTGTTCAAAAGTTCATTGACATTGTGAATTTTGTTATGGATTGTATGGATGTACTGGCCAGGGTTCTCTCACATTCAGTATTCTTTCAATCTTTTATCATGTACAGGAACCTTCATGCGATGCTGCAGAAAACAATGCTCAGCCTGTGGTTTCTCCAGAAGAGGCTGAATTGTACAGTAAGATGGTCTTTCCCACGCTGAAGGAGACAGATATAAGCCGTTATATCAACCAGCAGGAAAATATGGCATCAGATTACACAGTCAACCGTGCTGGACCCTGTGTTGTGCCATCAAATCCTATGTCCAGCCGACAGCAGCATTACATGTATATTCCAAGTCGGAAACTTGAGGTGTTGAGGGACTGTGTGGATTACATCTTTGAAAACAAGATATCTGAGGCTAGAAAGGTATGTATGACAATTTATTATAGCATGCCGGATGTTGTGAAAAAAAAGAATGTAAATTGTATGGCAGTTATAACATCCCACAAGTTGGTAATAATTATTGTACCTTACAGCAAGCTGTATGGCACTGCTGTGACAGTCAGCTGGGGATTATTTCACACTACTGTATCACATTCTCCAAACGTCAAACCTAGTGTTGGAAAAATAAGTTTTGTCTTTGCTCTCCGGTTTTTATGTCCTTACAAAAACCTTTTTGTCATGCAGCTAATGTATCAGTTAACATCGTAATGTTACAATTTCTGTTGGAAGTTGCATTCATTACAATATTACAGGAAGCACTTATGCCACTGAGACACAAGCCTCCTATGAATTACGTCTAGTTTTGTTGACCATGCAGTCTGTGAACTGAACACTGCCTTTATTCTCTCCAACAGACTCTTCCATCAGTGGTTAGAGCACTAAAGTCCAAAGGAGCCCAGTTAGCTCTTTGTCATGAGCTATCTCTCAGAGCTAAACAACACAGATCAGTCCTGGAGCATGACCAGTTTGACTTGGTCGTCAGACTCTTGAACAGTGCTTTACAGGTTGGTTATTTACCCTGAAGAAGATGCTGTTCTATGTTCTCTACGAAAAAATGCACACTTGAGGTCAAGAAAAAACTACTGTTCTAAAGATGCACAAGCAGGATGCCAGTGCATTCAGCAGTTTTTTTTAGGCCTCAAAAATGCATTCTTTTATTACAAAACGTAGGAACAATGTCTTCTATTTGGTTTAGAATATAGTGTTAAAAAGCAAAAATATTTACATCTGAGAAGTGGCACTGCACTGGCAACACACCTCCGGGACATACATGCTCCATAATAGACCAATTTCAATATATTAAAATTCAGCCTGAAACAATAGACCTCAGCACGAGGCTTCGGGGAATAAACCCTACAAACTCTGCAGCTGTTCCCCGGAGCCTTGTGCTGAGGTTTATTGTTTTAGGCTGAATTTTAATATATCGAAATTGGTCTATTTCCAGCTGTCTTTGGTTTGATTTCCTTATTCAAGATTGTGTACTTTCACAGTGCCTCTCTCCACCTACATGTAGGAGTGTAGAAAAGTGCCACTAAAATGTTGAGGGTAGCCTGTGGTTAACTTGCTTTCCGTACAAGAGTATATTATCCTTTCGGAGGGGGATATAATACTCCTAGTAACTTGATACTACTGATACTGTAAACACTAAAAGTGTCCTTTTATCCCAAGCATTAGAATAGACTACAATCTAAGAAAGTAAAATCTAAATTTAAAAGTTCTGATGGTAAGACTTTTCCTCTTTTCAGGATGATGCGAGTATGAGTAATACAGCTGTAGCTGCAGCATTGTTACCTCTAACTGCAACTTTCTGCAGAGTGAGTGATTCTGTTAATTTTTCTTTTTTTTTGCAACTGAAAATCATGGTTGGTCTGTTCATCAAAGCCCATGGACCTTACTATTGAAATTAACTGTTACTAACAATGATTTTGTTTGTATTTTCAGAAACTGAATGCTGGTGTTATCCAATTTGCTTACACTTGTGTTCAGGACCACCCAGTCTGGGAAAGACAACAGTTTTGGGAGGAGGCCTTTTACGCTGATGTTGAGTCTCAGATCCAGCAACTCTATGTGGATGAAGAAGCACCAAAGGCAAATGCAGAAGAGACTCTGGACGGAAAGGAGCAGCGAACATCTCGTAGCAGCTTGACGCCAGTAACAAAACATCGCAGCTTCACAAAGAGTAGAGATAACCTTTCCTTATCACCGAGAGACTCCGGGAGTTCAGGTGATGTTGAGCAGTCATCTCAAGCAGTCCAAAAGCCAGTTCCTAGTGCATTGAGCATTGCTGCTAAGCAGGTTCGTGGTTTTCCATTATTTCCATGCCCTTTGAGCTCTTGTTAGGAATGTACATCAACTGTTTCTGTAAAATCCTGTAGGTCAACAGTCCTGGAAATGACAATCTGTTTTTGGACATTGTCTGACCAAATTTGTGAAAGTGTGTGACTGATTGAATTGCTGCATTTTTGTGGAACAAGGCATTTTAACATATTGTACTGGAAATGTCTGTAGAAAGAATTTGTGTTTAACTCAGTTGAAAATTTTGTCCCTGAAATGGTTGGACAGTAAGATTTTGAAACCCATGGAAAGTTGATTTCATGTTATTCTTGGCACCTTATATCATGTTCATTCCTCAACAGTAGTCTTTGTGACCTGCCTTTAGCATTGTATTTTTGTGCTGTTTTTACATTGCAGCTCAAGAAATGGCCCGATTACAGCAAGGAAGAAAAAGACTCCTTGATAAACAGTGAGGAGGGCATTGTGTACAGTCAGGCAATCCACTATGCTAATCGCATGGTGTACATGAGGATCCCTTTGGATGCTAGTGAGAAGATGCCAGCTCCCACCCCTGCAGCGACATTAGGTTAGGAGACAATATTAAACTATCTTCACTGTCCTCCATGTTGTCTGCAATCAGATGTTCTTTTGGTTATAGTGAGTTTGTACATCACATGCGTTAGTTGCATTTTGCCTGATGTTTCAAATCTAGGCCTTATTCATAACCTTTCAGACCAAAATGATTTTTACATACTTTGTACCATTACAAATTGAATCTCTTGTACCATAGTCACTGATTGTATTGTTTTTGTTCTCATGCACTCTAGTGGATGGCGATGGTGACAGGTCTGTAAATGGTACATACACTGGAAGCATAGTCAATGGTGTGGCAGGGGGTAAGTATCATTTCTCACTGAGCTTGTTATTATGGTTTCCTGTCGGCAGATATTTATAAATCATTGACACGAGTGGCCAATAGCATAAGGAGTTGAACCCATGAGCATCTGTCTTTGGTTAGATACTCTGTCACTGAGCTACAGGGGAATCAAAGACAAATTCAAATTTCGGTAAAAGTCAAGTTGTTGACATTTAAAACAGTAAGGTGAACAAACAAACAAATGGCATACAGTTTCAAAGTGCTAGTGGGAGCTGCTGCTGGAGCATGTACTGGCTGATCTGTTTGGACTGTGGAATGTTTCTTTTCATTTCAATGATCATCAAGATTTTATTGAATAAGACTAACTCTCTTCGTTTCTGTCACTTGTTTTCAGGAAGCAGTGAAGTCGGCAGCTGTATTACAGATAATGGAGGCTGGGAAATTTATATGGATGACGAAGATGGAGGAACTATTGCTGACCAAGTAACAAGATTTGTCAGTCGGTTTGTGGATCGTGTTGGCACAGAGGCAGGGATTAGTCAGGAACACCTCAAGTCTCTTTATACCATGATTCCAGGTCAGTTTGATCACCACAGGAGCCTCCTTAAACAATATTATTAAGCAGTGGTGGCACACTTGGGTACATGTCTGACTCCTACCATATCAGCATTGTAGCCTGGATTGTTTCCAGCTTGGAGTCATTTGTCTGAGGCTTTTTGTGTGAACTTGCATGAAACTAGCTGTGGTATATTTCAATGCAGCTGTAATATCTTAATGGTCATTGTTTTATTTGTTATCTAACAGGAGTGGTTGCCATGCACATTGAATCATTAGAGCCAGTTTATCGTGAGTACAAGAATCTGGCTCCTATTCAAAAGGTAAGTACTGGCTAGTAAATATAAATTTAAGAAATAGAAAATGTGTACCGTGTTCCTATCAAGTTTTAGTATAAATCTACTAGCATTCTATCACACATGCCTTGCTCTGATTGGCTACGCCACTCACTACCTATTCTGTGATAGATAGTGAGTAGCGTAGCAGTGTGCCCTTGTTAACAAAATGACGGCCGCTTTTTGGTGTTTTCGAAATGTCTGTGAAGAGGATTTAGATAAAGTTTTGAATGACTAGAAGATTTAAATACTGAAACAATTAGATTAATCGTTTGTGCCATCATTACATTAACAGTTCGTATAGTGTGAGCAGAAGTCATCTTCAGAGTCTTGACTCTGAAGATGACTTCCGCTCAGGTTGTCGAAACGTCAGTCACCAACAACAGTTCTTTTCAGAACTACACTCACCCGGACGATCACACTATACGAACTACTGATACTCCTGGGTTCAAACCATTTACTGTATTACATTAACAGCTCGTGCTAGTTCTGTGTTTCTATCAAGTTATAAAAACATGATTTTAAACCAATTAGCATGCATATTTCTTTGGGCTGTTTTCTAAAGGGGATTGACTTCCTTAATCGTTGTGGTAACAACAAACAGGCTTGGATGGGACTCATCACTAATATAACTGAATTTTATATCAACATCTTAACTTACCTTGCCTTAATTATTGTATAAATTTAGGCACCAGATAATTGTGGTTGTTGCTTTGAGAATTCACAAACCCATTTCCCGCAAAGAGAGAAAGAAATGCAGTTGTCTAGATTTTATCAGAAAACAAACACACAATGTATACACTTTCATCAGTCGTTCATTGTATCCCACACATTGCTGTTCACTTTTACCAAATCCTCCACTGCTTTTGGACCTTCTTCCACACTATTATTCACCTTAAAGTGGAAGTAACCATGTACTCTGGACATAACAAAATTCTACAGTGTAGCTTTGTAGTACTGTAAGAAATGTGTGAGGACCTTAAAGGACAATTTAAGGTCTTGTCATCACAGTCACCTTCCGTGTGTTCAGAGTGAGAAAAGCCACAAACAGATATGGGAGAAAAAACAAAACAACAACAACAAAGAAGCCACCATTTTTCGGGGTGACTATTTTTCGTTAATTTTATTGGTCAGGAATACTGAGTGGGTGTAGCAGTCACAGTTGCTGCTACCCACCCCTACATGCTGTGACTGTCCCTGTTTGTCACTCACCGCAGGCCAAGATCATGAGACCAGCTCTGCTACAGGGGGAAGAGATGCTCAGTGATGGACTGCGTGCTTACCTCATACCTGACGGCAGGGAGCTTGGGAGGGGAGGAGAGGATCAGGGTGGACCTTGCCTGCTACCCGCAGATGGAGCTGTGTTCTTGACGAACTACAGAGTGATTTTCAAGGGCACTCCTGTAGATCCATTTGGTGAGTATAATGTAAATTAGAGCAGTTTTCTAAAGAGTAAAACTAAAATTAAAACACCTCAACATTCAAGTCAGATAGTAGTGTCTGAAATCATTTTAAGTTGGAGCATGTTTTTCATTTTGTTTTGATGTTCTTTTGTTCAGCATCAGAGATGATCGTGACAAGAAGTTTCCCTGTGGGATCACTTATCAAAGAAAAGAAGATTGGAGTTCAATATCTACAGCACCTGGAACAGTGGCTTCATGAATGTATTCAGCTCCGATCAAGTACTTTCCAGGTAGGCAAGACATACATTGAACTAAGGTTAATGTGCCAGAGGCTTTATTTAGTGCATCAAAGGTACATTAAATGTGGTCAAGCCACATGTTGCACCTTTGTGCCTTCTGTGGTTGACTTACAGTGTACATGTACATGAAGTTGTTCTTGAAGAATTTTCTTGAAGGTTCCATTATTGTTGCAGCCAACGAGATTGAAATACTTGTAAGGTACCCAATAGGTTATAGGTATTCAAAAACGTTTTTGGATCTGTTTATCCCACTCTGTGTCAAGTGTCAAGAATCGGCTTTATATCAGGCGTAAAATAGTTAAAATAATTTATTGGTGTTCTCATTCTGACAGATGTTAAAACTGGTTTTTGACGAGGAGGTCGACCAAGAATCCATTGAGACTTTTCGAAAGAAACTCCAGAAAAGACATGCACCAAACACAGTATTTGGTACTTTTGCTTTTTGTGGCAAAGGCATTGCAAGGACACCAACTTTTGTCATTCAAAAACACATGGAGAGACAAGGAACTCTCAAAAAAACGAAGAAGAAAATTGTATCTGCATCGAGGCACAAGGCTAGTAGCATTGCGCACATTAGGGGATCAATTCGCAAAAGAAGGCACCGGCACAATTTATCAGATGCAAGTAGTTTAGACCAGCAGAGATCACCCAGTGGTTCACTTACCACTGATGATGATGATTCTGTTCAGGATATAAATGACATTTCCCTTAAAGTTGAGCCTGTTGTTGTACATGGTGCAGAAAGGCTCAGCAAGTTGTCCTACTGTGGCGACTATTCACGTCTCAAACTCGGCAACATTGCCAAGGACTCTTCAATAGGTCCATGGAGAATATGCATGGTCAATGTCACATACACAGCATGTCGAAGGTGAGAATAAGATATCACTTTTCTGTGTCAACTGATGTAATTACTGCTTTTAAAAGTAATACAATATCAAATACATAGGACGATGTTTGACCACATTTCCAAAAGCCAGGAAGAGAGTTGAATATACAACATGTAGCAGCGTATTTTTGATGAACTTCGGGATGTTTCAATATGTGGTCAAACACAGTCTTGAGTGTTTGATATATCTTCTCAAATGAAACTAAAACTATGGAGAAAATGGAGAAATTAAATTTTAAAAATCCTTGCTAATTAAGATCGGATACCCAAACACCATCAAGGGCGTGATTCCCTTTGTTTTCACTTCATGGATATTATGTATGAGGTTTAGAGGCTTGATTCTTCAACTGCAACATAGCCAGTTTAAAGTGCTGTTATACTCATCCTAACTGCTTGTGCCACAATTGCCATGACAAATAACGTAATTGAAGTAAAGTTTTGTAATAAGTTCTGTTACTGAATTCAATTCTTCCTATGCCTTTTACACCTCGCAGTTACCCTTCTGTGGTTGTGGTTCCACAAAGTATTTCAGATGACAGCATTCTCAGAATAGCAAAAAATCACCGCCAGGGAAGGTTCCCTGTGGCCGTGTGGAGGCACCAGCGCAACAAAGCGACACTGCTCAGGGCTGGCAGCATTGAAAGAAGTACAATTGGATCAATCATGCGACAGCACAAAACAGTAGGAGGCACCAGTGTAGCAAGTCATGCGATCTCTTCATCTGCATCTGTTGAGCAGGAGAAATACTTGGCTGCTGTTGGTAGGTTGGTTAGAGTTAAACAGAAATGTTGTGAAGAAATACTGTTATCTAACACATGTTAATTTGTCCTTGAAACCATAATAAATGCTCAGAACCAGGTTGTTTAAAGCCTGATTAGGCTAACCCAGGATTAGCAAGTATTTTATTCTCAATTTTGTAACATTTCAGTGAGGTTTTCTGTTTGTATTGTTTGTCCTTCAGTTTTGAACTTGCTTTGAGTAATCTCAAAATACACCGATTATAAGAGGTGAAAAACGATTAAACCTACAGTGTAGGTTAGTGTTGACTGGCTTTTGAATAACCTGGCCCAGATTTCTTGAAGAGATTCCAATATTTTACAGAATCTCAGTGAAATCTGCCCTGTCATGGTTTCATGTAATTTATCCATGTTAGAATCTATGTTCATCCTTTCCGTCATTAGCAATTTTAATTTCTTAATAGCTTTTTGTCATATTTTTAACACTGTTCTACAACGTTAATGATGGCCCACTCACCTAACAAGGTACAGTATCTTTAATGTTTACTGTGTAGCATAAATAACTGTTTTGAAATGTTATTTTTAAATTCCATTTTTAGTGGCAGCGACACCTCAAGGCAAAAACAAGCAAATTGCACGTGCCAACTCACTGCATCTTGGGGTGATACTTAGAGATGGCTATTTTGCAGATGATGTTGATTCTGGCCAGCTTGTAGACAGAACTATCATGAAGAAAGGCTGGGAGCCGGCGGCACTGTACATCTTTGGTGACAAGACCTTATTAAGGGTATGTTTCTGGTGTAACTATAAGCCAACAGTGGAAGGATACTGATTGCATTAGATATTTGTTCCTCCTTTAAACTGATCACCAATATATAACCACAATATTATGTAGCATCTTTATAAACTGATTGAAACCCTAATATTGATAGTGACACATAAAACTTTTTCTTTAATACATAATTATTCTGTTTTTAATGCGGGTCATTAAAATTGGGTTGAAATTAAAAATTAAAATTGCACTGAAACGACTGTTACTTACTGACTGGTGGCAAATCTAGAGTGAGGTAATCACTCAGGGGCAGATCTAGGGGGAGGGTGCAGGGGGTGCATGCCGCCCTCCCCCCACCCTGAGATTAAGCTTTCTTCTTCGTATTCGCTTTTAAAATTTGGTTACCTCACCAGTCAGTTATGCCATTCCTTAGTGGTCTACCCCCTCCTAAGAAAAATCCTGGATCTGCCCCAGTCACTTGACTCATGTTCTTTTGAGTGAAGCATTAATAAAACTACTGTACATAGTCAAAGTGCTAATCTTTTCCAAGCTTTTGCTGATGCACTCTTTGACTGTTTTTTTTTTTTTTACACAGCATGTTAAACAGGAGGCGTACCCCAAATGTGAGTTTGTTCCAATTGAGGTGAGAAGCTGCAAACATTTGATGCCTGAATTTTACATCTGTAGCATATTTGAGTGTGTATGCTGTCCATTGGTAACATTGATTTGGATTTGTTGAGTCTTTGCCATTCTGTGTCTCCTTAGCTTCCAGATATCCGAGCGGTAAGAGCAAGTTTCAAGAAGTTTCAGCGTGCCACCTGTCCCAGTACAGAGACAAACTTGAGCTTTATTCAGCAAGTAGAAGAATCAGAGTGGCTTCAACAGGTACATCTTCACTCATACACTGTACAGTAAAACTTGCATTTAAGAACTGACTGGCAAAATAGGTTCTTGTATTTTGGGGTAGCTATTGGCAATTTAGGCTAAGCAGTACTTAACAGGGTCTCAATTTCTATGAAGGAGGTATAGTTGATGATTACCGGAAAATAAATAAACTTGGGTTTGGTTCTTAAGTATACAGTATTTATTCACAACTGTATTATGATAAGCGTAAGACAAGTGACTACAGAATGACATGTAGTGTTGCCTCTATAACAAGAGTTTGTAATGAAACTGTAGCCCATGTATAAGAACCTGCTTGTTCATGTGTACCTAAACAGGTTCTTACATTTTTGGGTTTTAAAATAGCAAATTACTGCCAGCAGGTTGTGAAACCACTTGGTTCTTACATGCAGGTTTTTACTGTAATTTCTTGACAGCTAATTTACCTAGCCTCCCTTAACTCAGCTGTAGGAAGACATTTTACTGAAAACGATCCTAAATATCCTCACATTGAAAATAAGACTGTAGGATTGAATGAAAAGCAAGAAAAAGGAGGCTAAATATTGACTGTGACATTTGATTGTGATCCATAGTTATCAGCGATCATGACTGTTGCAAACTGTTTGGTTGACCTTATTGATATTCAAGGCTCATCTGTACTGGTCTGCTTTGAAGATGGCTGGGACACTACACCACAGGTAACTGCTCTTCAATAATACAGTGCTGAGGCTAACTTAAGCTAAAATTGATTTCTATGGTAGGGAGCAGGGACGGCACAGTGGTGAGAGCGCTCACCTCCCACCAATGTGGCCTGGGTTTGATTCCAGCCCGGTGCCATATGTGGGTTGAGTTTGTTGTTGGTTCTCGCCTTGCTCCGAGGGTTTTTCTCCGGGTTCTCCGGTTTTCCTCCCTCCACAAAAACCAACACTCCAAAMTCCAATTCAACTAGGGACCCACATGAAAACCAGCTAAGGCTGATGTGCTCTTTCTAAACATTGTAATTTATTGAACCTCCTCAGTGTAAAATGCTTTGGACATCAAAGACATTGACAGATTTTTGATCCCCACTGTTGTCTTTCATTCACTCAGGTGCTGTCTCTAGCAGAGATCATGCTTGATCCTCACTACCGAACCATTGATGGCTTCAAACTGTTGATTGAAAAGGAATGGCTCTCCTTTGGGCACAGGTTCACACACCGTGGCTGTCAAATCGCTTCAGCACAGGCCGGTTTCACGCCAATCTTCTTACAGTTTCTGGACTGTGTACATCAGGTATAAGTTGTGTTTTTTTTTGTATGTATTGGAGGTTTGTAAAGATCTTTATTTTTCAAACTACAGTTGTAGCTCTTCTTGTGACCAGTCACATAAATGAGCATTAACTAGCAAGATTTCATTCTTGTAAGTTACCAGATGCAGTTTGCCCACTTTTCCAAATCCTAGAATTGGTCACTTATAAGAGAGGCTGAGTGTCAGCCATACATAGCGTATAAATATTCTGAAAGGGAAGTAATTGTTGATACAACTCTCTAAAATGGTATTCTTGTGTACCTAAGTTGACTAGCCATTGCAGATGCTACCTACCGTGGCCTACTATTATTTACAGGGAAATTTCTGTCTACAGTGCAGGCTAAAGTTGACTGGAGTAGTGTTAAAAACAAAAGAGCTGCTTCCTTTTAAACAGTGTCATTTAGATTGTTTCTTTTGTGCTCAAATTAAGTTTTTTTAATTCTCTTTTAGATTATGCTCCAGTTCCCCCTGTCCTTTGAATTCAATGATCACTTTCTGAGCACCATCGCGTACCATCATGTGTCCATGAGGTTTCGCACTTTTCTGTTGGACTCAGAGCATGAAAGATCAGAGTCTGGCTGGATGGCAGAGGAGGATCACAAACCAAGAGGAAAATCACTGTGGGACTACATGGATTTACAGAAGAGCAAGTCGCCTCTTTACAATAACTTCCTGTTTTCACCAAACCAGCACAAGGTATGCAAAGTGATGAATAACATTTTTTTCCAAGGGGGAGTGGAGCTCCCATTACTAGGGGTTCAGTCTTGATGCTGATCATGCAAACACCTTATTCCTGATGTTCAGTGTAAGCAAACCCTTTATTTAAGTATTCACTTCCCATGAAGTAGCCACTTCCCCCAAGTAGGCACCTTCCCTGAATGCACAGCAGCCCCACTAAGCATGAGGACACATTGTAAGAGGACGTCTTCTGTAAAGAAGCACCTCACCTAACTGGACACTCTGTTGTGAGCCTGGCCAGACACCCCTGAAAACATCTAGTCTCACAGGTATTGATAATGAAAGAGAATCACACTACACCAGGGCTCGAAAAAAGTGCCAGCCAGTTTTTCGGGACAAGCAGATTTTCTTGCCAGGCAACCAGCCTTTTCATTTTCACTTGCTCGATGGGCAAGGGCCTTGGCATGTTGTTTGCATACTAACTCAGTAGAGAAAACTAAGACTTGCCCAGGATCAGCAAAATTTTAGAGCTGCTTGTCTGAAGGTCATCTTGGAATTCAAATGTTTCAGAGTCCAGAGCCACTCCAAAATCAATTCAGTGTGGCACAACAGCATTTCAATTACTTTGAATTCAAAGAGTCATCATTTGCTTGTAGGTTTTGAGGCCATTCTGCAAAGTGCCCAATCTGAAAGTGTGGAAGTACTTTACAACAGAGAATCTGTCAACAGGCCCAACTTATGACCTTGAGCTTATCAATGATGTCACAACAACAACCGAAAATGAGCAAAGTGTTGATGGAAAACAGGTAGGCAGCTCTGTGTGTATTTTCTGGTGTCTTACTGTCTCCTAGACTGTTTAAACATGACTAAATGAAAATGGAGACCCAAAATGGGTCATGTTGGTATGTGTACAAATTCTAGCAGTATGTTCCAGCAGACGAAGCTGCACTGACTTGCAAGTTAGAAAACCACAAATGAGCGCTGCATTTTTTAGTTTAAGACTAATCCTAGATGCCCTTTGCTTGTATTTCATGTACAGGAAACCTATGGAAGCTGCATGACAGGTTGCTATGGTGATGTGACACAGTTTAACAATGATGAGTGCTCATGGCTCCTGCAAGAGCTGTATAGATTGGAAGAGGAGGCTGATCAGAAACCCAAGAAATGGGAACAACACTGGCACAAGCTCTCATACCCCTCCACAAAGAGAACAGTAAGAAATATTGACTTTCCTTACTGATTTAAATGCATTTCTTTCCTGAGAATTTAGGGGAAGATCGCCACGGTGTGCGCGTGTGAAAAAGTTTAGCCTAAATTTTTCAAGTTCGTCGTTTGTAATCAGTGTTAATCTTCTCCATCCTTAACCTTCCATGTTTCTTTATGATTTATTTTTATCTCTATGGTGTTTTCCTATCTTAGTAATAAAATACTCCATATATGGCCTCCTATGCAGACGCTCTTTGGGCTCGTCATGCAATCTTCCTCCCACATGGGAAAGGAAGATTGCGTGACGAGCCCAAAGAATGTGTGCGCAGGAGGCTACTTCGTATATGGTGTTCTCTAATGTTCAGTAGTGATGGCTTTTGCATTTTACAAGAATTAATAAGCTTCCTTGTCAATTGTTTTTCCTTTGTGTAGCATTTTCCTGTCAACACCAGGTGGTTCAGTAGTCAGCGACTGATGCTTCACAAGAGAAGCACAATGGAGGTTATTCTTAAGGTATAATTCCTAATAGCTTCTTCCTTACTGTGGTACTCTTCTCTCACACTGACACAAAGTACTACTCAGGTCTATTTCCTGTTGGTCCTTGCAGTGTGCCTGTGGAAAATCAAAGTGTGCACTTCTGCGTGTTGTAACTGTTTGGTGTTTTTCATCACCAAACAACAGTTAAAATGATTAAAGCAATGTATATTTTTTGTTTTTGTTTCAGGGCAAGCTTCAGGTGGAGGAACGTGGAGCCCAAGGCTTCTCCCAGCCACACAACTTTGTCCCGCACTTGTTTGTTCCTCCGTCAAATTGTGACCATTGTTATCAGATGATCATTGGGATTTTAAACAGAGGTGACTTCTCAGTCTTATTAATAAATCAACGAATAATTTGTTTGATTGCCACACCTTTATGAGTGTAATGTAAGTCCAACTCTTGTCCATATTTACAGGCGCGAAGTGCACAGAGTGTGGTTACAACTGCCATGAACGATGCCAGCCCCAGGTCCCTTGGCAGTGTAAGAAGCGTGAACTTCCTGAGCAGCCTGGATCTGGTGTAACCAAGAGTACCTTGAGCCTGCCAAGCGAGGTTAGTAGTTGCTTTATAACTATTTTATCAGCCATTTTGTCTTGTTTATGAGGTAAATCATGAACTAACAAAATATTGGTCTGCTATTTAGTTACTTATCTGCAATGTTATTTTAACTTTTTTTAACGCAGACTGACGCTGGACACACGAAGAAGCTCCATTGTGGCCATCTTTACAAGAGAGGGCATCTTTTACGTCAGTGGAAGGCCAGATGGTTTGTTCTGGACACGCAAAGAAATCAGGTGCTTAGGATTGTTCTTGTATGTTCACACACTATGGTTTCATCCGCAGACTTGTATGCCTTAACTTTATATGCAGGTATGCTACAAATGGCTGGTTGATCTGTTGTCTTGAACATTGTAAGGTAGAACTGAGCAAAAGCCATGTCTTGAAGCCAGACTCTTACCCAGTCGCTACTTACGTGTTTTGAGGAGAAAAGATTGGAAACTAGGGTAGATTAAGGCACGCAGGGTGCCATGGGAACTCCCTGTGGGCTCCACTTGATCCAGACCGCTTTCTCTTTGAAACAATCCAATCTGACCTGTAGATAGCGACTGGGTACGAGTCTGTTTTGCAGTTGTCCTTGTATTCACCATAGTATAAAATTGCAAATAGCTCAAGACACCGAACCCCTTCAGCAATTTCTAGACGAAGCAGATGATAATTAAATTCGTATTTTATTTTCATATTTAGCTCCGGTACTATGATGGAGAACATGACGAACACTTGCAGGGCTACGTCGACCTTGGAGAGATGATCGCAGTTCAGGCTCTCAACAACGTTCCGCCCGGTAAGAAAATATACTCAGAGCAAACTTGTTTGTGTCCCTTATCTGGAGCCAGACCAAAGCTATGATTTTGCTTACAGCCATTTTCTTGAATAAAATGTTGACAAGAATAATAAACTCTCCATTTTATTTTAGGTGCACCTAAAGGTTCAGAGAAAGGAGCATTTTTTGATGTGAGTTCAAGAACCAGGTTTTTCACTTATTGTTGGCAAAAAATTCTAGTAAGATTTTGTCCTTCTTACCAGGCAGATTTTTTGCTGTTTTAGAACGTTTAGTCATTCGAAGATAATACAAAATGGAAACAATGTCTAGAGTAAGGGTGCTTATAATATTGTTCTTTAGGATTGATCTCTGAATATAAGCCAATGGGGTAAGTCTTGTGGTTAAGGCAGTGGCGAGCTTTTGGCCTCTGAGATCAGGGCGGGGGGCATAAGTCCACACTGGGCCAGGGGAGTTTGAAAGCGGAAGTTTCACTCTGAAAATGCATCAAACGTTTTCTGTCCACACTGCACCGGAGAAATTTAAAATCGCAACAATTACCGGTCATTTTGGAATTGTGTTTTAAAAGAACTCGGGCACTGACGGAAATCACATTATGATCGCGAAGTCATTATTTTCAAAAAGCTCCGTTTTCAAAATGTTTTCCGTCCACACTAAAAACAAAAAGCTGGCGTTTTCAAATTCCTCCTGTTTGAGGAGCGTTTTCGTTAAGGCTCCGTTGTCGGCCTGGATTAGTGTGGACGGCAGGCCTAACCATAGGAATACAGCTGCGTTTTCAAATTTCTCAGGCGTAGTGTACCCGGGGCCTAAACCAGTCTTTAATCTTTAATCGGTAAAAACATCAGGTAGAAAAAATTACATAATAATGACTAAAAATCCAAATCCAGTGGGGTAGTGGTGGTGGCAGATCATGAGGGTATAAGTTTGGGAAGAGGAGCTATTATCTTTTTGGAATTTTTTAGCGTTCTCACATTCAGGCTATTGTGCATTATTTTGCAGCTTCGAACAACAAAGCGGGTCTACAATCTCATGTGTCAAAGTCGCCGTGAAGCCGAAGTGTGGGTGGAAAAGCTGCAGAACATGAATGTGTAAAAATGTCCAGTTATTAATGGCTACCAATGCTGCAAATATTTCTTTATTCGATCTCCAAAATGAAGTATCTACTCACATCGATTGACAGCCAAGATACAGATGAACGACAGTTGAAGAAATTTGCAAGAGAACATTGAGTGGTAAAGCAATAGAAAACAGTTACCACGACAAGTTAGCAGAATTTTAAATTAAAAATTAGTGGCGTTTAAACTTCCTTTTTTCATTATTTGAAGTAGAACTGTTCTAGATGCCTCACCCACCTCTCTCCCAAGAGACATAGTGATGACGTAGCTCTTCAGATATGTCTCCGTGATTGGCTGTTAATCGCGCGCGTAATATCGTAACTAAGCAACAACCCATCACGTCATCACTATGGCCAGAATGTCGCGGCTCGAAACTCGAATGTCGGTATCGGGCCCGTTTCTCGAAAGCCCCGAAAACTTTTCGGGCCGGCAAAGCCATTTTTATTTCATCTGTATTTAAAAACGATAAGTGTATACGCCTGCAACCTCTTGTATGAAGGGAACCTCTATTCATTTTAAGATTATGCGAGTAAGACAGCTCTGCAATCATAAGGTTTGAGACTGTGCTATCATGGCTTTCCGGGTGCAAAAACCTTTAAGGACCTTCGAGAAAAGGGCCCCAGCTGGAGTGAAGAATAAAGCTCCTGAAGAAAGATGTCAGGTTTTTTTTTCCATTAGCAGGCTGAAGGACGTCACATGGGAACATTCAGGGCAAGCATATTTGTTTTTATCTTAATTGTAAGTTGTACTTTTATACATTCGTCAGAAATGAAATGAATTGTCAATCTCCATCATTTTATTAGTTAATTTATGCAGGCTGTATTTTTCATGTACACAGCTGTGTTTGTCTTCATTTCATTTTTGATCTTGGTGTTCTCCTGTAGCAATGACTAATTTAAAATTCATTTTAATCAGATTACGTGCAAGATGTACAGTTTTGTTGACAATCAGATAACATTTTACTGGTGTATTGTATGTAAAGATTGTTTTGGCATTTTTCGTTCTTGTGCTTTCGAAACGTTTGACATGCACAATGTTGTGACTGCTTCGGGAAACACACTCCATGATATTTTTGTGTTTTGAATTCGTCTTCGAGATTTCGAAATGAAATGTTTTGTTTGGTTTCGAGATAAATTTAATACCACTGGTCGCAGTATGGCTTAAACTGATGACTGAGAGTACGTAGGTCAGAAATAGATTTTTTAGACTGTTAATGTAGTTAATGAAGCTTCATAAAATATAAATACCTAATGAATTTTTAATGTTGTGAGATATTTTAACTCAGATTACTTTAAGTTCATTATTTATGCCATTGTGGTATGCCTTCCACTAGCCGCGAGCAAATTCCATTTTGTTTCTCTTGCGTGGTGGCAGATTGCTATCTATGTCGTTACTTCAATACCAAAGAGTTACAAAATGCAGTTTGCTTGCTCTTAACTCTTTTCCTCGTAGCAAAATCTTAGACACAAACCTTTTGTCATGTAATCGGTTCCAGCTTTCGAGTCTGTGGATGAATCCACAACGTGTGAGCAAAGTGGTCCAAGCTTTCAAGGATGTGAATGAAGCGTTACTGTGTTACCATTCAACTAAGAGTATTTGGGTTGCTTTTTCTCACCAACCGGTAAAAAGATCTTCTTTGATAAGTGTAGGAGGGAAAGGGTTAAAACTAGTAATCATAATTTACTAGAAGAGTGTGTTCGAAATGAAACAGCCTCCTTGCATGCCTGATTATCCATGTTATCCTGTTGCATAATTTACTCTTAATTATATTTAAAACTAACATCGTTTCAACCAGTAATTGGGTTCACATGAGTATGCCTTATCTGTAACAGAAACCTTACCAAGCAGTAGGATTTCAAATCGCAGGCACTACGAGACTGCCATCTCCAGATAAATGTTATTATTATGTTATTCGACAGCTGATAAATGGCTGTTGATGGGGCTCATTTCTTCAGCCCTGTTCCTCTTTGAAAAATTCTTGGAGTTGTTTTTCCCTTGACTTGTATTGGTCTACGGGTGACACTGAACGCTCTGATATGTGTATGTAGAAAAATTCATTTGCTGCAAGTTTTTTATAGTTTCAGACCTATGCAGGAATAATTGTACTGAAATAGTCGTTTTAGATTTGAATTTCTTCAGGAGAGTAGAAAGCTTCTCGACGGCATGGCTTTCGATTGCATTGCAGATGGTTCATGTAAAAAAGAATGGTAAATTATTTTTATTTCTTGGGAGTAATGTATTTTGTAAACTAGCAAATCTTTACTTTGCATTAGTCAGATTAATAAAGCCTGTAATAGTCTCACGTGCAGCTTGGTTGTTTTGTTCTGTTTGAATTTACGTCAGTTTTGCTATAAACCTGACACCAGTTGGTCAAAGAATGTAGAACTATCCAAGGGATAAAACCGCGGAAGAATCAATTTCGTTTCTAGAACCCTCGTTACCTTTAAGTAAGATGAGTATACAAACGGTAAGGTACCATATATGAAGTACTTACCCAAGGATAACGAGGGACCATGTCTAAAAACTTTAGAGGGATAACCTTGGGTACAAGGCCTCTATAGGAAGGACCTTAATCTTCTCTTGGTATGATTTGATCATCATCTCACTGTAGATATATCAGCATGGGCCAGGTCAGGCCTGATCGAGTTGCACTCGTAATGTGATACGAAA